TTTATTAATTTTTTTCCAGAAAAAAAGCTATTCTCATTTCTAATCTCTGTTTTTATCTTTTTTATTTTTTAATTAGAAAACATAGGATTGCATTACCCTAACACCAATTAATGATCCAAACAAATTTCGAAAATATTTCTAAAATAATGAAACAAAGGTTGTCAAATACTTAGATTTTCCAATAAAATTAGAAACGAAAACATACCCAAACATGATCTTAATTGTATCATGTTGGATGAATAAGACTAATCATCTTATTTTATTATTGATATATATAATGTATCATAGGTAGAACAAAAAATATTTAAACTTTTATTTTATATGTATATATATAACATTTTAATTCGAAAAAGTTATTGGAAAAAATTTTAAAATATTAAGTATTATATTATTTTTGTTTTACAACAAATGGGGAGAGGAAACAACTGTCGCCATTCTTTCTCTGCCTCAGAACTCAATCATATGTACTAGCTAATCATCTGACAATAATTATTCAGGTAGAGACATATGACCACGTGTATCACATGTAATGAGATAACATAAAATAGAACAATAAAATATTTATTCTTACTTTGTAAATTCCTTAAAATAAACATAAATAGATTATAGAATGATCATATGCAAACTTGATCTTAATCCTGATTCAATTATTTATTAACTTCTATCTATTAGCTGGATCACGTCTTTGTTTTATATGAGTGAGAATAACTTAGACAACTATTAATTAAGTTTATGATTGCAGAGATAGAATGTAATTGATTGGTGATCTAGAAACATAAATTTAAAAATAAGAGATTCAGTGACAATGAAAATTGTATTCTATATTTTCAATATTTTTTAATATGTGTTTCATAGTAGATTTAGAAATTGAATATCGATTTAAAGGCTGTTCAAAGATTGTCGTTAATATATTCGTAACAATAATAAGAGTGATAATTATCAACTAAATTTTGAATATCATTATTATTATTTTATTTATTAACATGTTTTATCTAATAAATTTTGTATAATAATTAGTTTACAATATTATATAATTTTAAATATTTTAGGTTCCTATGGTACAGTATAATATATTATGTGATACTTGGTTAAAATTTTTAAAGATGGAACCATTGGTATATTTATCAAAATATTTATTTATTTTTAGAGTGTAATTCTAGATTTCAAATTTTAAATAGGAAAACACTGAAATGACAGAATGTTATTATTAAAATTTCCACCTTTAGGTCATAGAATTCAAAAACAAAAATCTACCCAACAGATATTAATTGAACCTATTTTTTTTATAACCAGAAAGACATAACTCGTTAGCTTTTATTACCACACAGACTCCATGTGTTTTACAGGCTATTGGTTGAACTATTTGWTTTAGGTCTTATTTGCCTACCAGAAATCCAAATGTTATTATACTATTTATTAAAATTATCTGGAATGGGAATCAAAATCAAATATATGACAATTACTAGTATATCCCTATTTTTTTTCTAACTAATAACAAAATGCTAATTTTTTTAATTACAATAATAATTTATTTTATTACTATATTATTGATAGTAATATTTTTTTACCAAAATAATTTATTTAATATTCATATTAATAAATAATAAATAATAAAAATAAAATTCATCCACTAAAATACTATTTTATTAGAACCATAATCATTTAATATAAAATATTATTAAATATTATAATGTTATTAAATTTTATTATTATAATAATTAATAATAATGAATTATATTTAAAAATTTTGACATTAATTAATAATAACAAACTTAAATTAAAAAAAATTAAAAGTTAAATATCACATTAACTAATAAAAGTGATATAAATTTTTACTAAAAGAAATTATTAGTAGTATAAATGAAAAATAAATAAAAAAGTATAAAACAATTAAATAAAAAGTTATGAGTCTCGTTAATCATGAGAGAGAAAGGATAAAAGTAGAAAAGTGAATGTAATAAATATGTGGGACACTCGAGATAAGGAATGAGAACGAKATTGATGAGGGTGTATGAGAGGAATGAAATTGCCCCTACAATAGGAATGGAAAAAGTGGGTGCATCCTAGCTACCATTTGACTCATTCTAACAATTTGGTAAACACGATCAAAGGAAATAAAAAAAATTATTCTCATTCCTTTGACGTGAACATGACCTTAATGAATTTGAAAAATAAAATAGGTTGATAATATCGATGAAGTTAACTTTTTTATGTTACAAAGATAGATGAGTAATTTCATTAAATGTTTTTTTTAAGAGACCATTAAATGCTAATCTAGGACATAAATAAGGAGTACATCTCTAGTTTAAAAGGTTTCTATTTTATAACTAAGTTATTATATAAATAGATTATTTGTTAGAAAATTAATGATAAATAAAAAAGGAGTACAATATAAGTACAAGGTAAAATGAATATTTGCCTAAATTGTCATTATGGACCACTTTTATGTGTGGACATAAATTGCTTCACTACATGCACTTAAGGAGTATATAACAAAACAAAAATATTTGGCCCAACTATATTACATACCACTTCTTTTTTTTTTTTTGAAAATATATCACTTCTAAAGATTAATTTACATATAATGATGGAGATAATCTTGTTTTATATCACATGAGACTGTGGTAGCTAGCCTTGACTATTGACCATTGATTTTCAATAAATATATATTTTTTTTTCTTTTTAATAGTTTTTAATTTTTTTTTGCTCTAATCCTTCTCAATGGTTTCTTCTTCTACAATCCTCCTTTCTTCTTTCTTTCGTTTTCATATCCTTTCTTTTTCTTCTTCCACGAGCTCTTCTGATTTTTACTATTATAGTTTTCTCTCAGATTTCTCGACTTCTTTTTGTCGCTACTCATGTTAGATACCATGTAAAATTTTTCTTTGTGTTCTAGTTTTAAACCGAAAAATTGACCGACCGACTGACCGGTTAGTACAACGAAGGAAATAAAAATAGTTGGTTTTCATTTTCTGAAAATCGATGTGGTTGTTTCGTTTTCGGTTATGGCCAAAAACCGACTCTGACCAACCGATGATCACCTCTATAATGATTGAAATTTTTTACTATTTCACTATTGATTCTTAACGTCGATGTTGAATCTTTCAATTTATAGATATATCGATTATCGACAAATAATTTAGTCATTGGCCCTCCGTATAGTACATGTTGAATATTACAGTAAAAAAGGTCGATGCATGACCTATCCAAGTAAGAGGAGGGAGCTTTATGAAGGGATTTTTCATAAAATTAGATTGACAAATCCATAAAATTATTGGGAAATAAACATACTCATATATTGAATATTAAATTCAGCCTTTGTTTTTTCTCATTAACTTGCAGTTTTTTTAGTACAACAAATTAAAAATACGAGAGTTCGAATCTCTAACTTCCTAAATGTCAATTATCGTTAAACTAAGTTCATAATAAATTTCTTGAATTACATTTACTAAAAAATAGGAGTCAAATATCAAACATTATTTTTCAAAGGAATAATATTATTCTTTTCAAAGAGTCCAGCAATTACAATTGTGTAACCATAAAAAGTCTTTTAGTGAAAAAGAAAGGACCATTTTTTCACGGTGACATGTGGTGTTTTAAACCAGAGTATGAAATTTTTATATAAATGTCGATATTTCCATAAATATTTCTACATGTTCATAGATTTGACATCGATACTTTTGTAGTATTAAAAAAATCAACAAAATATAAAAAAAATATCAATAAAATATCACTAATATAAACATAATATTGATATTAATAATTTATAATTCGTTTAAAAAGTATATAATGTTCCTTTCTTAATTTAAAGATTTATTATAAAATTTTTTTATTTTTATATTTCTTCAAGGATATCAACGACATCAATATTTTATCAATATTTACCGTCCCAATTTAAAACTTTGGTCTTTTATAGAGTCAAAAGATTTTTTTTTTCCTTCTGTGCCGACTGTACTTTCCAATTTTTAATTGTTTAAATACATAAGATATTTTTTAGCAAGTTGCTATTTCTTCACCCCAACAGACTAGGCTTATGGTCCAGAATGACTGTCGTTTCATATTTGTCTTTTTTACAATTATACCCTCACCTCACTTCTGAAAAAAATAACAAAATCTTCTGTAAACACGTAATTTCATGTTCCTAAGAAATGCCAACTTCACGTGGTGTGTATTGTTTGAATATTCGTTTTCTTTTCTATCAAAATTTTCCTCTTCCTTTTTAATATAATTCTCTACTTTAAAGTTTTAAATTTAAAATCTTTACGTACCAAATACGCTCTTACTTATCACCTAAATCTTATTAGTAATTTTAGTTCTATTTTTCTTGAATCAAATCTCGTCCTCACCATCATTCAAAAATTGACAACTCATTATTTTAACAAAATTATTTTTGCATTTCTCTATATTAATTATCAAATATTTAACGGTGATAAGCAAAAGATTGACATTTACATTAAGGGGCTAGAAAATACTTGGTTCCTCCACCTTAATTGTAAGGAAGAATCTTGTCCTCATCACCATCAACTGTTTGACAATTAAGATAGAAAAATTCAAAATCAAACATTTTTTAAAAATAATGAATTGTCAAATTTTTAATGATGGTGAGAGTAAGATTTGTTCATCACAGTTAATGAGCCTAAGTATTATCATTTTTCATTTACTTGATACTTACACATCCACCATTAAAAAAAATAAAATATTTGACTAATCAATCTTGTCCTCGTCACAATTAAATATTTGACAACTAAACAGAAAAAAATGCGAAAACAAATATTTTTTTTTAAAAACTAATGAATTGTTAATGTTTTAATGATGATGAGGGTCGAGAAACTAGGTGTTTTTTTATTAAGGAATTGATGACTCATTTTTTAAAAGAAAAATGTCTACTTTTTCATTTCTTTTTCTTAATCTGTGGAATAAAATGCATCCCACTATTATTGAGGTTGGTATTTTTCTCTCTCCTACTCCATTTTGAGTAGGCCTATATAAGAGACAACGAGACCCCTTCATTTTCCTAAACAATCCAAATAATTTTGGAGGAGATAACAAAGATGGGTTCACTTTCCAAGATGGAGAAACCTCATGCCATGTTCATCCCATACCCAGCCCAAGGCCACATAAATCCTATGCTAAAGCTTGCAAAGCTCCTCCACCGCAAAGGTTTCTACATAACTTTCGTCAACACAGAATACAATCATAGACGTCTTTTAAAGGCTAGAGGTTCGAATTCTCTCGATGGCTTGCCTGATTTTCAGTTCAAGACCATTCCCGACGGCTTGCCACCATCGGAGGGAAACGCGACCCAGCATGTCCCATCCCTCTGCTACTCCACATCCCACAACTGCTTGCGTCCACTCTGCAGTCTCATTTCTGAGATCAATAGCTCTTCCTCCTCCGGCAGCCACCCGCCGGTCTCGTGCGTTATCGGCGATGGTGTAATGACCTTCACCATCATGGCGGCACGTGAGTTTGGGATTCCGGTGGCCATGTTCTGGACGGCCAGCGCTGCGGGCTGCCTTGGATATATGCAGTATAGTAAGCTTGTTGAGCAGGGCTTGGTGCCGTTTAAAGGTATGAACTAAGTATTTGGTTTTAAATCTAGTTATCCTGTATTTTAGTTCTTAAGCTTCCATAAAAGAAATTATTTTAGTTGTTAAAGTTAATTTTTCATTTACTATTAAAAATTTAAAAATACTACATGAGATTTTGGAATCTTTTGATATCCAACCTACCACACATGTGATCTCATAAATTTGTTGGATATAGGATGACTTCATTTGGAAACAATATTTAGGTGTTTAATTAGATGGTGCACCATCTAATTAGAAGAGATCAGAAAGTGTCAAAAAAAAAAGAAGATATTTTCACTTTTTTAAAAGAATTAAAAAATAAGAATATTTTTTTATTCAGTGCTCTATATTATAAGTAACTATTTTTATATTGACTACCGTTGAAAAATTGACAGCACATTATCTATCTTTGTATTTCTCTCTATATTTATAAAAAATATAAGGGTGGTTAGCACAAGATATCAGTACTCCCTTAGCATTTAAAAATTAGACCCCAAGAGATATGAATACTTTAAAATAAAGAATATATATTTTTTCCTTTCTTTTTCAAAAATAAATAGCTGTCATTCTTTTAGTGATGATAGGTTGGAAAATATGTACTCATCCATAAACATCTAATACCATTCAAATATATTTATGAGTTAATTACAAAACTAACCTAAAAAAAATATATATTTTTCAAATATCATACAAAGTTGAAAAGTCAAAATTATGTGTCCTTTGAGATGTTGGGCAGTGCAAGAGGGTTGAATGTTAACATCCAAATTTTACTGTCAAACGGTCCCTCCTGTATCGGACAATCTAAAAAATACATATTAATTCGATAGCAAATTTCTATACATTATGGATTTCTCTGGCCACAGATTTGCAACATGAGATGTATTATTTTTCCTTCTAACAATAATCCGTTGTCTTTATCTTGCATTTTGTAATTAACATATTTGGTTTTTTGTTCTGTTGCAGATGAAAACTTTTTGACAAACGGGGATTTGGAAACGACAATAGAATGGATTCCACCAATGCAAAACATACGCCTGAGGGACATCCCAAGTTTCATAAGAACAACTGACAAAAACGACATCATGCTCAACTTCTTCATCCAAGAGTTACAAAGACTTCCCAAAGCCAATGCAATAATCATGAACACATTCGATCCCCTCGAACACCATGTTTTACAAGCTCTCTCTTCCAAGCTTCCTCCCATCTACACCATCGGCCCGATCAACACGCTCGTCGCCGACCTCGTTGCCGATGAGAAAATGGAAGCGATCCGATCAAATCTATGGAATGAGCAATCCGAATGCGTGGAGTGGCTGAACTCCAAGAAGCCGAGCTCCGTGGTGTACGTAAACTTCGGGAGCATCACGGTGATGTCGCCGCAGCAACTCGTGGAGTTTGCATGGGGGCTTGCCAACAGCGAGAAGCCGTTCTTGTGGATCACAAGGCCTGATCTTGTGGAGGGGAAATCCGCAGTGTTGCCGTCGGAGTTTGCGGCGGTGACGAGAGAGAGGGGAATGGTGGGGAACTGGTGCAACCAGGAGGAGGTTTTGAAGCACCCTGCAGTAGGGGCGTTTTTGACGCACAGCGGATGGAACTCGACAATGGAGAGTATCTTCGGCGGAGTGCCGATGATTTCGTGGCCGTTTTTCGCCGAGCAACAAACCAACTGTCGGTACTGTTGCACGGAGTGGGAGAACGGCTTGGAGATAGAGAATGATGTGAAGAGGAACGACGTGGAGAAGCTTGTGAGGGAGTTAATGGAAGGGAAAAAGGGTGAAGCCATGAGGGAGAGTGCGAAGGAGTGGAGGAAGAAGGCAATGGAGGCTTGTATGCCAGGTGGTTCGTCCCCCAAAAATTTGGATCGAGTCATTGCTGAAGTTCTATCGAAAAACCTCACCAATGGTGTTCCAAATTAGGAATATCTCGTTATGGTTGAATTTTTTAAAAGCAGGAAACTTTCTATATTTCAAAAGATTAAAAAAAATTGACAATTAAATCGATAAAATAGTGTTGATGGATAAATATTTGAGTATTGTTTAAAACTTATCTCTAGAATAAGTTGAACTATTCCCTACGGAGGAGGTTGTTGATTTGTATTTGTCTTACTTTTATTTTGTTTAATAATAAGTAATCTTACTAAATCTTTAATATCTATTAAAAATTAATTACATCAAAAAAGTTAAATGAATCAATACTTGATGCATCTATGAATTAGTATGTGTTTTTTAACTTCCTAATATATTGTATTTTTATCGGTCTACTTCTATTATGTCGCGTGGTGTTATTGATTTTACTTGATTCTTAGTAATGTATTTATATTATAATTTTAAATTTATAAATATATCTTGATTTCATATCATTTTGATGTTGATGGATCACAAGAGTACATTAACAGAAATCTTTTAGTTTCACTGTTTTCTAAGTAAGATTAGTCAATAGATAATGTATTATTATTCCTGTTTTCACTCATTTTTATGTAAGATTAGTCAATGGACAAAATGTATGGGAACTTATCAACAAAATTGAGTGCTTCTCCAAAACTATGTGGTGGCATCTTTCACTTTCTCCTTTCTTGACTCCACCAAGTGAAGACAAAACTTCCACCATCCCATCCTCTCAGTGACATGTCCTTTTCCCTAATTGACACATCGTATCTTAAAATATTGTTGTTTATTAAATATATGTATATATTTGGTTCCTTGAGTATTTCATTAACTTATTATTTTAAAAACATATTTTTTATTTTTGTACTTTTCTCGTTGTCAAATATTTAATGACTTTAAGGAAGAAGTTGCGCTTTATTAGCCATTTATTTACCTTTATTAAATTAGAATTCCTTTATCTTTTTCTAAAGGAAAATTCTATGTCACATGACCAACATTGTCTTTCTTAAATTTTGATTCTTAAATTTTCAAAATATCTATTTTGGATAATTACATGAGTAGTCGATTTTTTGAGATCCTAATTTCAAAATTATCCATATTTAAAAAAAAAACTTCACTTTTGTAAGTGGCCGATTAAGAAGAAGTCCAACTGAAAATTAATGGCCCGTTTGATAACCATTTTAGTTTTTAGTTTTTGGTTTTTMTTGTTTTTAGTTTTTGGTTTTCTGTTTTTAAAAAACAAAAATGATAACCATTTTTTCTTTTTTGTTTTTAAAAAACAGAAAACCAAAACATGTTTGGTAACCATTTTTGTTTTTTGTTTTTAAAAAGTTATAAAATTCATAATACTCTCTCCATTCCCGTGCTCGTGAAAATTTTTAGTCTCCGTCTCCACCTCGTTCTTGGGTCCGACAGATGTTCTCAAGAAAAATTATCGGTTTTATAATTGTTTATAATTATTTTTAGTATTTAAGTATAAAAAAGTGTAACAAATACATATTAATTATTTAAAAAATGAAATCGGGACAAGGACGAGAACAGGGACATGCATTTCCTATTTTTGAGACCTGACCCTGTGGAAATTTTTGTCATCCCCTAATGTAGAGACATGAAAATACAAGTTTGGAGATATGTATAAATTTTAAAGAGATAAATAAAATGATTTTGAAAAAAAGAAATAGGGAAAGAAAAGTTAAAGAAAAACAGAGAAAAAAGTAAAGTTGAGAGGAAAAGAGATGTTAAAGAAAAAAAAAGAAATTATAAAGAAAGAGAAAAAATATAGTGGAAACAAATTTAGAGATAAAAACAAGATTCAAACTATGATTTTTAGAGAAAATAAATAAATACAAAGATAAATAAAAGTTACCGTGAAAGAAAATTGAACAAGAAAATAAAATATAATTTTTCAGAAGAAAAAATAGATTACAAAGAGAGAAAAATTATAAAAGATGAAATTTTAAAGAGAAAAATGAAATTTTAGAGGGAAAAATGTTAAGAAAATTTATTAAATTTTTAGAGAGAGAAAAATAAGGTTGGTAAAGAGAAATTTAAAAATAAAAAAATTTTAGAGTGAGAAATAATTTTTTAGAGATAAATATGAGAAAGAAAAAAATTAAATATTAAAAGAAAATATCAGATTTTGAAAAACAAAAACCTGTTTTTGAAAACTACTTTTTTTTTTGTTTTTGAAATTTACATGGAATTTCGAAATGGTTATTGAAAAACAAAAAACAGAAAATTGAATTGGTTATCAAACAACCCTATTTTTGAAAAACTAAAAACCAAAAACCAAAAACAAAAAACAAAATGGTTATGGTTTTCAAACGGTCCCTAAATAAGTGTACCACTCGGATATATTTAATAAACAAAACAAAGAATATACGGAAAAATAAAATTTTATTTGTATGGATGAAATTCCTCGATTCCCATATTCTCCAAATATTTCAAAATTCCTTCTTCCCCAAATCCTCTCTCCCCCTCGACTAAACACACACTGCACCGTTGCTTGTAGAAATCGGCTCAAACCAACAACTGTTTGCTTGCAAAACTAGCGACTACGATGACAAAACTTGCCTTCAAGGGCTGAATGAGGCGACACTTGTCGAAATCGCCGTACAAGAACACAAATCGATGCCCAATCAATTCAAAGTATACTCGTGAAAACTTGAGACAAATCGGAGCTCAGTAAATTCGAAGGCTTGAGATAATTTGAAGCCCAATAGATACTATTAAAGAGAGAGTCAAATTCCTTTAGGTTTTATCTTCGTATATACACTTGATCGGGATGTTAACTTGAGAAATTATCTTTTAATTAATTGTACCTAGCCTTAAAAGATTATTTGCGTTCAATGTACACGAGTCACATTAGTGATCATTTTAAATTATAAGATAAATAAAATCTGTCGGAGGCAAAAATATGACATACCACGTGGCGAGATATAGTCGAGCTACTTAGCTCACCTACCACTGATCTACTAAGGTCATCTACCACTGAGCTCTTAAGCTCACCCATAGTCGAGCTCCTAAGCTTATCTATCGCCAAGCTACTAAGCTCATCTACCATCGAGCTCCTAAGCTCATCCATGGTCGAGCTATATGAAGTTCATCAAGTACCAAGCTACAAAGCTCATCCATATAAAAGAATGAATAGCTGACTTGAGTCATTGCTGACCTATGGCTTGACAGTCCATAACCATCCAACCGCATTGTTGTAATGATCATAACAAACTTGTCTCTTCACTCCGCCTATAAAAGGACATTCATTCCTCCGACCTAGGTTGGCAATTATACTCCGAGAACAACGTACTTGAGCTCGCGCCTATACTAACTTGAGCGTATGAGTGTTTGCTTATGTAGGATTTATTAAATCCAAATTCAAATTGGATTTGAATTTTGGAATGGGGGAACAGTTAAGTAACTACTCCTCCCCCTAAAATCTCTCATATCTCTCACTATATCACAACATGTAGGTGATACGTGGTGTTTGGTGTGGGAGCCATTCTGAGAAAAGCCATAGAGAGAATTTTGTTAGAGAGATTTTTTACTCGTAAAACATAGAGAACTTCTGTCGTCTCAAATCCTTCACCAGTCGAAGAATTCAAGTTGCGAAACATGGGATTTTACATTCGTGATTAATCTCCGATCGCTACTTGGTTTTTGTAGATTCCTCTACAACGATACAAAAGGTTAGTACCCATTCCTACTAAAAACCTAACATTGGTATCAGAGCCAGGTTATGAAAAAACTTGGACTTTCCTGTAACACTATAACAGCAGATTTAGTTTCATATAGACTTGTGAGTATAAAGGCTAGAAATGGAACATAATATTTTATCATTTTCATAGATGATTTCACATGTTATGGTCATGATTATCTGATTTCCCACAAGTCTGAAGCATTAGGATGTTTTAGAAAATTTATAAACTTGGTGGAAAATCAATTAAATAAAAAGATTAATGCCTTAAGAGCAGATCGAGGGCGTGAATATCTATCTAATCAATTTAGGCAGCTATGTGAAGAAAAGGATATAGTAAGGTAGCTAACTACTCATCGAACACTACAACAGAATGAAGTAGGTGAAAGAAGAAATAGAACTCTTCTTGAAATGGTCAGGTCAATGACAATTCAAGCGAAATTGTCAATCACCTTTTGGGGTGATGATTTATTGACCGCTACTTATATTCTTAATCACGTGCCTTCCAAATCTGTTGCTTCCACACCCTATGAGTTATGGACTAGTTGAAAACCCGACCTTAGTGATCTAAGGCTATGGAGTTGTGCTGCTTATGTACATGAGTTATCACATCCACATGGAAAATTAGGTCCAAGAGGTCAAACGAGTATATTTATAAGATACTAGAAACATTCGAAAGGATATGTGTTCATTGGTGAATAAGAAAGTGGGAGTGTAATTGAATTTCAATAACGAGATGCTACTTTCTTGGAAAACGATTTTCCAAGGAGAAGTAAGATCAGTGATGAGATATCCCTATTTAAAAATTATAATAAAAATGATTTGCTTTCATCAAATCCATCGTGGGATAGTTTTAGTATTGTACTAACAATATCTCATCTAAGTGGGAGATACATGAACACTATATGTGATTTGGACGAATCACAAACACTCGTGACTCAATTGATCAGTTGTCACGGGATTCAATGAGATCAACACGTGAACAATCAATAGAACCACAAATAAGATGTAGTAATTGTGGCAGAATACCGAAATGTCGTTTGGACGATGAAATTTATATGATTACACTCGATGATGATGAAGAGCCAAGAAGTGTTTAGGAAGCTATTTGATGTCCCAATAGAGAGAAGTGGATGAAAATAATGGAAGAAAAAATGGAGTTAATGAAAGTTAATAATGTTTGGGAGTTAGTCGATCTCTCAAAAGGACGCAAAGCAATTGGTAACAAGTGGATTCTTAAGATTAAGCACAAGGCTGACGACTCTATTGAAATATATAAAGCCTAACTTGTAACAAAATGATTCACACAACAGGAAGGAATAAATTATGATGAGACTTTCTCGCCTGTTGTGAGGTTTACCTCTATAAGGCTCATTCTAGCCATAGTCGCTAGTTTAAATTTGAAATTACATCAAATAGATGTAAAAATGACATTTCTAAAGGGTGAGTTAGAAAAAGAAATTTACATGTAGCAATTCATCAGTTTTGTTATCGAAAGACAAGATAAAGTATGTAAATTAATAAGGTTAATTTATGACCTTAAACAATCTTCGAGGTAGTGGTACATCAGGTT